CGTCCAAAGGGGCGACCCGATCCAAAAAAAATTTGCACACTCTTTTAGCCAAGGGTCTAAACATTATTTTAATACCCACTTTTGTAATTTTTGGTGACTAATTTATTTACATATTGGGTAAGAAGGGGCACCGAAATTGCCCATATGGAAACTGTGCATTTAGACATTATTTCGGTGACAGGTAATAAGATCGACGGAAATAAGGTCAATTGACTTTATTTCCCACCTTGGTGCGAAATAAAGTCAATTGACATTATTACCATTTTAAAAACGAAAGAAAATCAATTGACATTATTTCTCTTTCAAACATTAAATTTGCTTAGCTTCGCGGCGCCCCGCGTACCCCGCGTACCCCGCGCGACCGGCGCGCACCAGGCGTCACGCCGCGGGCCCCCCGGCCCCCCCCCTCCTCGTCTCCCGACGTGCTGTAGCGCAGGTAGATTAATTTTTTGTATACGTTGAAATAAAATTTGTATATATTTTAAACATCGAGGGCTTATATTCAATAATACCCCCTATCTGCACACTTTTCACAAAGATGAGATTCTGATATAAAAATCCACCTAAGCTTTAACTGTCATCAGTGATAATAATGCTACCTTATATAACGACAGGTAATAAGTCCCAGATGGTTTCTAAAATCAGAAAATAGTTTTTGTGCAAATTGCAGATAGAGGGTATTAATGAATTCAAGCCCTCGATATTTCAAATTTTTATATTTGTAAGTTATTGGAAGCAGGGATGCCAACTTGGCTCAAACCGTGCCATTTGTTCCTATTTTATTTCAAATGGCACTTAATTTTTCAATTTGGCACAAAATGCCAAAATGGCAATTTTGTAAAAAAATAACATTTCAATACATTTTTGTGAAATCCTTTGCGTGCACTTCTTTTTCTCAAATAAAATTTTCTAATTTATAAAGGCTATTCAACTGGTTTATCTTATTTTATCATTGCACTTTTGTTTTGAAAATGAGGCTTTATTTTATTGCTAATGTGAATGATTAAAAGGAATTACACCTTTTTTGGCACTTTTATTTTTCTATTTGGCACATTTTGGCACTTTTTTATCCTCAATATGGCACCTCAAAACTAAGGAGAGTTGGCAGCCCTGATTGGAAGATTTTTGCTGTGTTTTGAGCCAACAACTTGTCTGCAGTAAAAAAGCATATAATTTGTGTTTCAAAAGTGTGTGAAAACCAATCCATTAACTTATATGATCTCGGTTCCGATATTAAATAATCAATAATTGTTTATACCCGCATTTTGGCACATTGGCTGGTTGAATGTGCCATCTAATAAATAGTTCGTCGTTCTCCTTAGCATAAATACAGTGTAAGAAAGTTCTTTTTCTAGAATTGTTTCCTTATAGAAAGGTTGGGTTCTTTTCCACCTTAGACATTCCGAATTCGTTCAAAATATGCTAATTTAAAACACAGAATTCTTTTAGTGCTCCTCCGGGGTTTTTGGACATGTACTGTTTCTTCAATTTAATAGTGTTCGCTTTATTTTTGTAGAAACGAAAAATGTTTTGCATGTTATGGATCATTTCTCCACTCTTTCTTCAAATATTTCTCGTATTCCAGCTGTACGCAGGCGTTTAGTTTTTCGCATCGTGTTTTTACATATTCGTAATTTATATTCTTTTTTTAATATAATCAATTGGGGGTAGTTCATGATTGTGTGTGGATTAATATCACAACACTGAGGATTTGGCAAAAGCCTTTTTCATCTATTAAAAAACAACACTTACGGGGCAATGTTTATTGTAAGAACATCATTTTTTTCTATGAATCGACATACTTTAAGCATTATTGACGCTATTTGCATTTGAATGAGGAAATAGCGTCAATGACTTTATTTCCAAATTTTTGTTGACTTTATTTCGCTTTTGAAAAGGTAATAATGTCAATTGACTTTATTTCGCACCAGGGTGGGAAATAAAGTCAATTGACCTTATTTCCATTGACCTTATTACCTGTCACCATTATTTCGGTTTCAACCGAAACTGTGCATGTATGCTTTATTTCGGTTTTTACCATATGCATTATTTCGGTTTTAAACTGAAACTGTGCATGTATGCATTACTTCGTTTTTTTCATATGCATTATTTCGCTTTTAAAACGAAAGTATGCATATGCATAATTTCGGTATTTTCTCATATGCATTATTTCGGTTTTCAACCGAAACTGTGCATGTATGCATTGCTTAGGGTTTTTCATATGCATTATTTCGGTTTTCAACCGAAACTGTGCATGCATGCATTATTTCGGTTTTTGTTATATGCATTATTTAGGTTTTCAACCGAAACTGTGCATGTATGCACACCTTCGTCTTTCACATATGCATTATTTCGGTTTTCATCCGAAACTGTGCATGTATGCTTTATTTCGGTTTTTGCCATATGCATTATTTTGGTTTTGAACTGAAATTGTGCATGCATGCATTATTTCGGTTTTTGTGATATGCATTTTCGGTTTTCTAACGAAAGTGTGCATATGGATAATTTCGTTTTTTCTAATATGAATTATCTACTTCTACTTAGTAAGGGTTTTAATCCCTAACCGCGGCTGAAAGCCGACTACGCAGAGAAAAGTTCTGCGCAAAAATACGTCCGCCCTTCTTTTCCGGCAATACAGAAAGGAGAATTCTACTTAGTAAGGGTTATAATCCCTAAGCGCGGCCGAAGGCCGCCTACGCAGAAAGAAGTTCTGCGCAAAAGCACTTCCGGCCCCCTTTTCCGGCAACACAGAAAAGAGAATTCTACTTAGTAAGGGTTATAATCCCTAAGCGCGGCCGAAGGCCGCTTACGCAGAGAGAAGTTCTGCGCAAAAATACTTCCGCCCTTCTTTTCCGGCAACACAGAAAGGAAAATTCTACTTAGTAAGGGTTATAATCAATAAGGGCGGCCGAAGGCCGCCTACGCAGAAAGAAGTTCTGCGCAAAAATACTTCCGGCCCCCTTTTCCGGCAACACAGAAAGGATAATTCTACTTAGTAAGGGTTATAATCCCTACGCGCCCGAAGGCCGCCTACGCAGAAAGAAGTTCTGCGCAAAAGTACTTCCGGCCCCCTTTTCCGGCAACACAGAAAAGAGAATTCTACTTAGTAAGGGTTATAATCCCTAAGCGCGGCCGAAGGCCGCCTACGCAGAGAGAAGTTCTGCGCAAAAATACTTCCGCCCTTCTTTTCCGGCAACACAGAAAGGAGAATTCTACTTAGTAAGGGTTATAATCCCTAAGCGCGGCCGAAGGCCGCCTACGCAGAAAGAAGTTCTGCCCAAAAATACTTCCGCCCTTCTTTTCCGGCAACACAGAAAGGAGAGTTCTACTTAGTAAGGGTTATAATCCCTAAGCGCGGCCGAAGACCGCCTACGCAGCAAGAAGTTCTGCGCAAAAATACTTCCGGCCCTCTTTTCCTGCAACACAGAAAGGAGAATTCTAGTTAGTAAGGGTTATAATCCCTAAGCGCGGCCGAAGGCCGCCTACTCAGAAAGAAGTTCGTTTTCATGTATGCACTATTTCGGTTTTTGTCATATGCATTACTTCGGTTTTGAGTCGAAACTGTGCATGTATGCATTACTTCGTTTTTTTCATATGCATTATTTCGCTTTTAAAACGAAAGTATGCATATGCATAATTTCGGTATTTTCTCATATGCGTTATTTCGGTTTTCAAACGAAAGTGTGCATGTATGCATTATTTCGGGTTTTTCATATGCATTATTTCGGTTTTTAACCGAAACTGTGCATATGTGCATTATTTCGGTTTTTTTCATATGCATTATTTCGGTTTTCAAACGAAAGAGTGCATATGCATAATTTTGGTTTTCCTAATATGCATTATTGCGGTTTTCAACCGAAACTGTGCATATATGCATTATTTCGGTTTTTTTCATATGCATTATTTCGGTTTTCAACCGAAACTGTGCATATATGCATTATTTCGGTTTTTTCATATGCATTATTTTTTATGCACAGTTTCCATATGCACAATTTCAGGGTGCCGGGTTAGAAATATGCCCTTTTTTGTAAAATTCGGAAATTAGCGTACATTTATCACTCCTATTCTCCTTAAAGCAGCCACTTCACAAATATATTTTTATATTCTCCTTCACTTTGCACTTTTCTCGATGAGTTATAACTTTCTTTATGACTTTAATATTAACCAATTAATCACAATTTATTAAATAAAAACACCTTCAAAATCATGCGTCTGTCTTTGGTTGCATATGCAAATTAAATGGAGGAGTTCAGCTGTCAAACCCCAAAATATGCAAAAGAATGAGAGACAAAAGAAGATAAGATATGCACAAAGGTGTTCTCTGCAAAAGGTGTTCAGCTCCTTTTCTTCGCAAAACAGAAAGAGAACTCTACTTTGTGAGGGTTATAATCCCTAAGTGCGGCCGAAGGCCGCCTACGCTGAAAGGTGTTCTCTGCGAAAGGTGTTCAGCCCCCCTTCTTTCGCCTGATAACCACCTTGGGATAATTTCTTTTTTTTTAAAAACCCCACAGATTCTGTTAGTTGGGTTATATTCCACTTCAAACTGCTCAATTTCCCTCGTTAAATGCTGTTTTCACCCATTGTCAAACGGTTCCCTAGGGGTCTGTGGGAGGCCCCGAAGGGGGGTGCGACTTTTCGTAAAGTGGGGGCTGTCCCCTTTCGAATGGGGGGTTTAGGGGGCCACGCCACCGCCCCCTACCCCAAAACGACTTGCAAATAACTAAACATTTCCCGACTACTTACTTTACTTACTTACTTACTTACTACCTTTTCACAAAAGGGGATACAATTGTTACCCGCTTCTCTTTCCTTCTCAAATGCAACCTTACAAGGCAGGCGATTGACACAAAAGTCAATATTTATCCAACCTTGTATTATTGAATCATGGCCATGATCATGTTTGTACTGTTGTAGAAAAAATCTAAAAAGTCTAAATTTGTTTTGCCGTCTAATTGATATATATGTTGTTGCTTCATGATAAAATTTATTATCTTAGCTTAATTGGACTACTTTGGTGCCGAAAAATTGGAGCAAGCCTATTGTTGTCCGAAGCCCAGATTATCTAAAAGCTCTTGAAGAACTATTTGCAAAATATTCATCACGCGTCGCTCACAACTCAATTATTGTACTGTTTACGCTTGCAATATTACCACAAGACTATCCAAATCCAACGGTATGCACGCGGGCTACAATGTGGGCGCTACCTGATATAACATCAGTACTTTTTATTGCTCATCATTCAAAGAACGATCTGGAAAAAATTAAAAAAAGGGTAAGAAAATCTACATATGAGTGAACGCAATTTGTTTTATTTTTAACTGCAATTTCTTATTATAGACAGATCTTATTTTTAAGTCACTTAAAGCTTACTTGAAGCGAGCACCATCACTTAAAGGAGCTGCTTTAGTTAAACTTTCATCACTGCGAATTCAATCAGAACTTTGGAGAGGTTTCACGAATATTACAACTGCAGCAAAGCGTCTAGAGTCTATGGATATAACATCTGACAATTGGTTCGAAAATATGTTGAAAATATTTGGGAGGAATAGAGTGGACCCTGAATTTATGAGTATGGACGCAAATTCACACGATGCGTAAGTACAAAATACCATAATATGATAAATCTATATATAAGAAAATCTAGAAAACAGGTACACTCCTATGGTGCCTATATGATTTTATTCGTAATCTCTTAAATAAATATTAGTGTTATTCATTTTTATCAAATGCTTCAAAGGAATAAACATTTAGATCGCTCAAATAGAATAGGTTCATATTAACCTGTGCAAGTTGTAAATTTGAACAAAGAATTTGATAGTTTTTTTATATTGTTCGGTATAATACCAGAACCGCAAAAAATTGGAGGGTCGCCACCTATTTGAAAATTTTTAAACCCAATTGTATGTATAAAATAAGTGAATAATAACAATATGGGTATCAAATTAAAGAGGCTTAAGAAATATAACTGCTGGAAATATCTTTGAGGAGGGTTGCCACCTATTTGAAAATTTTAACTCAGTCAAATTGATAAAATAAATGAAATATTGCCATGTGGGTGCCAAACTAAAGAGTTTGAAGAAGGCTTACAGTCGAAAATATGTTTGAAGAGGGTTGCCACCTGTTTGAAAATTTAACTAAAGTACATCGATAAAATAAATGAAATATTACAATATGGGTATCAAATTAAATAGGTTTAAGAAAAATATCGTTGGAAACATTTGTGAGAAGGGTTGCCACCAATTCTAAATTTTAACTCAGTTAAACTGATAAATTAAACGAAATATTGCTATGTGGGTATCAAACTAAAGAGTTTTAAGAAGGTTGCCACCTGTTAAAAAATTTAGCGTAATTTAATTTATAAACTAAATGTATATCACAATATAGATATTAAATTTAAGAGGGTTAAAAAAGATAACTGCTGGAAAATTTTTTGAGTAAAATTGCCACATATTTGAAAATTTAAACTTAGTTATTTTGATAAAATAAATGAAATACGGAATTTGGGTATCAAACTTTAAATTTTTAAGAAGGCTTACAGCTGAAAATATGTTTAAGGAGGGTTGCCACCTGTTTTGAAAATTTAACTCAATTTAATTTAATTAGGTATCAAATTAAAGAGGTTTAAGAAAGAAGACTTTTGGAAATACTTTTGATGAGGGTTTCCACCTATTTGAAAATTTTAACTCAGTCAAATTGATTAAAAAAATGAAATATTGCAATGTGGATATCAAACTAAAGAGTTTTTAAAAGACCTACAGTATAAAATATGTTTGAGGAGGCTTGCCACCTGTTTGAAAATTTAACTCAATTTGCATAATTGATAAAATAAATGACTCATTAAAATATAGGTATTATATTAAGGATGTTTAAGATAGATAACTGTTGGAAATATGTTTGAGAGTTGCCACCTTTTTGTAAATTTGAACTCGAAAGCTTAGTATGTTGCACCAATGTATTTTCAATATAAAGCGATAAAATAAACCAACGAAAAATTAGTCCTTTGTGAAATATGTTGATTTATTATCATTTATGTAGGGATATGTACAAATTTTAAGCGGATACGGACGATGGGTGGTGGCTGACGGTCGTTCCTAATTGAACACGGGAAAATAAGTGCCCGCGCTCTTTTCAATAGAATTGAGTTCAACCTCAAAGCAGTAAAACTGTTTGGAGGGGAAGTTAAAAGATAATTAATTTGGCGGGGACAATGTCTGACAGTTTCTAATAAATACATGTGTACATGTGTACATATGGATATTATTAAGCATTAAGGTGGACCGTCTTGGTTTGATTAAATAAATGAAATTTGCAAAGAAGACTTACAATCGAAAACATGTTTGAGGTACAATATTGGTGCCAAACGAAAGGTATTTGAAAAATCTTGATTTGGAAATATTTTTAATAGGATTATCACTTATCTAAAAGTAAAGACCGAAAATATTGAAATTAAATGAAATATTACATAACTGGTTCCAAACGAAAATTGTTTGGGAAAGCTTTACTAGGGAATTTTTTAAATCTTTCCACTTATCCAAAATCCGAATAGTTTAAATAAATATAGAATTTACATCATCTTATCAAACGAAGTGCTCATATTATCAACGAGGAGTTGGCACACAAAATACTTAATGTAAAAAATTAATAAACAAGTAATTTTTAAGCAAAAAACACACCGACTCCAATTCTCACATACAAATTTAATGGTACCGTTAATTTTTTCATGATCCAGTGATCGGATCTAAACCAAATTAGTATGGGATCACTTCGAAATCGGTTGACCTGGTCCAAAGTTATGCGGTAACATACATAAAAAAAAATGTATATAACCTTCTCCTTTGTTTTGAAGTCGGCTAAAAACTACTGAAACAAATAAAAAATTATAAAAGAGTAACGAAAACAAATAACTTTGGTTTGAAAGCTGTTTAAAAAATACTTAATGAAAACTTAAAATTGTTGACATCATGCCCTAGCATTGTAAATCAGTTAACTTTTATTCGTAAACATTATGATTATCATTACTATTATGAACTCCTTTTCCCGATCAAGGATTCCCAAATTACGATCGCATGATGCAAATGTTAAGATCATAAGAGCTGCAGAACTGAACCATGCAGGAACATTTTTTTACAAGGGCGTGTAATATCTGGCGTGTGCCTATGACATCGACATCAGCGGTAACAAAAATCGCGAAGTGTCTTCTGCCTTTTCCAAGCTGGTAAACGAGGACAAGACGAAGTATCTCCTGTCATAAAAAAAAAGTCAGCGCATTCGCGCCTTCGAACCCACGTCACTGTTGACAGTAATAATTTCGGGAAAGTGGAGAATTTCGTTTACTAGGGAACCAGCATTATCACCGATAAAAATATCAGCATGGAAAACCCACGCAGAATCACTCTTGCCAACAAGTGCAACTTTGGACTGAGTAGGCAATTCGGGAGTAAAGTCTTTTCTCGACGTACAAAAACCGCACTCTATAAGTCACTCACCATGCCCGAGCTGTTATGGCGCAGAATCTTAGACAATGACAACATCCGATGAGACGGCTCTTGGAGTGTTCGAGAGAAAGATCTTACGGAAGTTTCACAGGCTTCTACGCGTGAGCGACGGGGATTACCGATGTAACGATGTAACAATGAGTTGTGTGAGATTTACAACGAAATGTACATAATGCAGGGAATGAAAATGCAGCGGCTCCGCTGGCTTAGACATTGTCGTTCCAATAGAACCCGAAGTTCCAGGTGTGAATGAAATCAACTCGTAGTCCACTGGTGTTAGCAGAGGAATAGGGGCTACCTATTACCAATGGAATGGAGAGGCCAAGTTGGCACAGAGAGGAATGACTGGCCAAAATGGCTTAGGCGGTTACAAAGCCAAAGTAAAAGAAGAATATGCAAATGATAAATGACGGAGTTGGAGGACCATCTTCTTGGATGCGCCAGGAGGAACTAGGAAAATATTCCTTATCAGATGGATTCTGGCAACGGATCGATCAAAAAATTACATTACCTTAGCTATCGCTTCGTCTGGAATCGCTGCGGCATTGTTACCAGGTGGAAGCATTGCCAATTCAGCTCTTGAGCTGCCATTGAACATATAAAACATCGAAACTCCCACGTGCAATATTTCCAGAGCATACGGTATGGAAAATGTATTACAAAAATTTAAACTCATTGTTTGGGATGAGTGCACCATGGCACATAAAAAATCGCTTGAGGTTCTTGATCGATTGTTGCGAGATTTGCGTGGAAACGTTCAACCATTCGGGAATGCATTGATATTGCTCGCAAGAGATTTTACGCAAACATTGTCTGTAGTTTCTCGATTAAAAGAAGAAAATTAATTATAGAAATCACGATTGGCCCAGTGAACGGGCTATTCTTGCTGCGAAGAATTAGGATGTCTATCAACTAAATAATAGTGGTATTGACAACAGTCATTGCTTGAACGGATCTGCTCTTTTACCAGACTGCCAGACCACTTGCTTACTTTGGTGAATACCACTAATGTTATTCAATCCAGCATTCAACGTGAGGAAATAGTATATACGTGGATAAATACCATTGTGGAAAAAGACGATCCAACCGAACTTTTTAACTCGATTGATCTTCCAGGGAGACCGCACACACTGAAATTGAAAATAGGTGTGACAATTATCATTTTGCGGAATATTAATCAGCCAAAACTTTGGCAACGGCACGCGACTCGCATTTATTAAATTGATGAAGAAAGTAGTGTAAGTAAAGATTTTAAGGTGACCTTTTAAAGGTGAAGAGTTCCCATGATTCCTAGTGATACACCATTTTAATTTAAAAGATTGCAATTTCCAATTCGATTGACATTCGGAATCACAATCAATAATGCTCCAGGTCGAACTTTGGAAAAGTATGGTTTAGATTTATATGCGGATTGCTTCTCAGATGTTGCGTGTTCCTGTGTCGGCAAACCAGATATCCTTGATATCTATGTAGAGAATGGAAAAACAATAAATATTGTGTGCACCCAAGTACTTATTACATAACCAAACACATATGAAACGTATGCTTTGTTTCGTTAATAATTTATTATCTAACGCAAAACCCCGTATCTGAGTAATCTGTTGTATGGGAGCTATATGTAAGCTGAACATATTTCGGTGATTTTACTAACTTCAAAACTGAGGAAATTTAAAAAAAAAATCAAAGTTTCAAGTACCGCTATCTCGAAGTTTTAGCCAATCTCGCAAAACTTGGGACAATTGGGTAGAAGAAATTATAAGAACCTTTGCGCATTTTACAAGTGTATGTAACGTTAAAAGGACTAGTAGTTACAAAAGAATTTAGATTGTTTGACCTATTTTCCAAATGTGCCTTCAATCAAGATCTCGTTAGAATTAAAATTACGCTCAAAATCGTAGAATATTTTTTCTTTAAAATCTAATTTATTCGGAAAGCACACCTTTTGCTAAGATATAAAATTATACGAAATTATTTATAGAATTCAATATATACTTAAAATGGTTTTAAAATAAAATGTTTCAAAAACTATAGGCGATAAGCCGAAAATTTTGAGAAGCAGAGTTACGCTATTTGAGTTACTTACCATTTAGTTATTTTTA